GAGTTTAGAAATATTGGTAAGTTGAGATCCTGAGATAATAGAGCTGTCCAAACAGAAATTACTCCTGATTATAATAGATTTTTAGAAAAAAACTGTTCATTTAGAATTAATTTCTTTAGTAACAAAAGTATTCTGCAGGAAAAAAATTCATATACATAGAAAAGCATGCAACTAGATATAGGCAATGATTAAGTTCAAACAGAAAAAAGTAATTAAAAAGGTAAATGATAGAACATTTAATTATAGTACACTATAAGGCTCTGCAGTAAACAACGTTAACATTCTCAAAGAAATGTAACTATTTATCTAAAAATTTAGTATAAACTATATTGGCATGATGAGATAGAAGAATGGTGAAAGTTGTGTTGGTGTAAGAGTTTGTCAGATGCAATGAGTTCTCAAGAGATAATAGAACAAGGATAGTAGGGAAAGCCTATATAGAACTTGAGGATAAGTAGCAGCAGGAGAAGGATTTAATGTATACAAGAGTACTGTCCTTGGGAAATGAGACTCTGAATAAAATAAAATATATTATAAAATTCTATGAGTTCAAATATCACATAGTTTATAGTTTCTGAGATTTGTGTTTGCTTAGAAAGGGCTTTTCTGAAAATATTATAAAAATAATCTCATTTTATTATAATACTCTCCTAGTTTATGACACTGGTAATATTATACTTGAGCTTCAACAGTCTTTTCTTAATCGTTAGATTTTATTATATGAGTTATTCTTCATTTTTTTAAAATAAATTACATTCTCTTCCTTTAGGACCATTTTTAATTTCTCTTTACGGTCTGACACAAAATAACTTAGAATGACAGATTTTCTATTTCTCTGTTTCTTTCTCCAGGTTGTCAATGGGGCTACTGAATAGCTTATGTAGGATAAATCTCTTTCCAGCATTACTTGTTTCCATGGACTGGCGCCTCACTGTGATAATTATAGTTCAAACTGGACTGAGTATTATTGTTTCCTAATAGAGTACATTCACTATGAGCTATGCTCCTCTCTTAAATAGACTTTTATAAGGTCCGAATAAGAACATTATTATATTCAATATAGAAATTGTTTTCCTATTTAACCTTTCCAAGCCATGATTGTCAAAAGTAATTATATGGGTCTGGTAGAGTTTCCTTTTGAAAAAAAGTCTCTTTATTGTTTATTAATTTCTTTGATAAATATAGTGAATAAAAGTATTAAGCACATCACAGAAAATTACTTTTTAACAGAACTGTATTCATTGAAAGTAGAAATTTTCATATGCTTCTGCATTAGTTATGTCTATAAAAAACATAAAATTTTGCCTTCACTTAATAGAGACCATATATTTAGAGGTGATTTCAGAAAATAGTACTAGCTTTGCAAAAACATATAATGGGGGAAAAATGGAGTATTTTTCCATTTATTTGTGTCATCTTTGCTTTTTTTTTTTTTTTTTTTTTTCAGCAGTGTTTTGTCGTTCTCCTCTTGGAGGTCTTTTACCTCTTTAGTTAGATGGATTCCTAGGTAGTTCCTTTTTTCTGTGTGGCTGCTTTAAATAGGATTGTGGTGTTGATCTGACTCTTTGCTAGAAAACTATTGGTGGATAGAAATGCTACTGAACTTTGTACATTGATTTTGTATCCTAAAACTTCACTGAAGTCATTTATTAGTTCTAGAATTCTTTCACTGAAGTCTTTAGGGTTTTCTAGGTACAGAATTATATCATCAGCAAAGAGAGATAACTTGACTTCATCTTTCCCTATATGAATGTCTTTTCTTTCTTTCTTTTGCCTGATTCCTCTGAGTAGGACTTCCAGCACGATGCTGAATAAAGGTGGTCACAGTAGGTATCCTTGTTTTGTTCCAGTTCTCAAGGAGAATGGCCCGGCTTTGGCCCAGTCTGTATTATGTTGGCTGTGGGTTTGTCATAGGTGGCTCTTATTATTTTGAGATATATTTCTTTGATGCTTCTTTTTCTGCTTCTGTTGAGGTGATCATATGACTTTTTGTTTTGATTCTGTTTATGTGGTGAATCACATTTATTGATTTGCATTTGTTGAACCAACCCCGTATCCCAGGAATAAGGTCTACTTTATTGTGGTAAATTAACTTTTTAATGTGCTGCTAGATTCAGTTTTCTAGTACTTTGTTAAGAATTCATTCTACCAAAAAGACACATGCACCTGTATGTTCATCAAAGCACCATTTCCAATAACAAAGACATGTAACAAACCTAGATGCCCATCAGCAGTGGGTTGGATAAAGAAAAGGTGGCACATATATGCCAAGGAATACTACTCAGCCATATAAAAGAACAAAATCACGTTCCTTGCAGAAATATGGATAGAACTGGAGGCCATTCTTTTTAGTGAATTAATGCAGGAATAGAAAACCAAATACTGCATGCTATCACTTATAGGTGATAGCTAAACATTGAGTATGCATGGACACAAAGATGGAAACAATAGACACTGTGTACTAGTCATGGGGGGTGTGCTGAAAAACTCCCTACTGGGTACTATACTCATTATCTGGGTAATGTGATATCCATACCACAAACTTCAGCATCACACAATATGCCCATATAACAACCCCGTACAAGGACCCCTGAATCCAAAGTAAAAGAAAAATCATATGTGTTCTTTAAAAATAAATCATGTTAGCAAGATAAACATGTATTAAAAATAGAAATAATGACTCTCATGCACTCTACTCCAATGGTGTGATGTACCCAAAGTTGAGTCATAGTAAGGAAAGTTGCACAATTACCAAGACAAGAATTATGTGGAGATTATTTCATTTCCCACACCAATAACAGGTGATCTTTTTATCACTAACAACATGGCACGGGTGAGGCAAGGCCAAGGCACTGAAGGCCTTTGCATTTTGGAGGATAATGTGCTATATATATATATATGCGTGTGTGTGTGTGTGTGTGTGTGTGTGTGTGTGTGTGTGTGTTAGTTAATTCTACACTAATCTTTAAAGAATGTGTACCTGTTTCTCTTGGATATAGAGAAAATAGAGTATTTTCAGTGTTTTGATTTAAATCAATATGAGCCTATACCGAGATCATTGAGGAGATGCCTCATTTGCCTACCATAATAGTTGAACTCTAGAATAGAAAAGAGAACATGATATAATGTGAGAGTATAAAAACCCATTCCTCTTGGGTTCTGAGATTGTCAGAAAAGCAAACCTTTCAGAAAAGCACCCCAATTTCCTTTTTATGTGCTTTTATCTGGAGATTGGTTGCATGCCAGAAACCACAGAAGTCTAATGTTGAGGGATGGCTGTGGGGAGATTTGTTTTTCACTTGCATTTGGGATCTTGAGAGGAATATGCCTCACCACTTGCCCCATACCCACTTGGGGAACAGCCACAGAAAAGCAGAGAAACATGGTCAGGCAAGAGGAACCCTAATATTTAGCTTCTCCAGACTCTATTTGGTTCTCATACAGAATTGTGACTGAGAAGAGAGCTTGACCTGGGGGCCATCCTGAAGGTTCCACCTGGGTGAATTCCTCAGTCAGTTGGTTGACTGAGGATATGATAGGGATAGAGGAGGGAAGCCATACCAGAGAGGGCTGAGATGGAGCCAGTTCAACAGGAGAAGTGCTAAGCAAAGAGAAGGAAGTTCACATTTCAGCATCAAAACCCAGCTGTACCCAGTGACAAAATGGACTTCACTACTACACAGCCTAGCAAACACTCAGCAGTGCGCACTTGAAGGTCCGCCCTCTTTGTTCCCCAGTGCCGAGTTCCTATTAGTCATACAATTCCCCACATTAGGGGGAGAAACAGGGAAAAAGTGAAGGCTCAGTGAATGACAAAGCCTTTTACAATGAGAGATTAATTTATTGGATAAAAGTGATCTTCATTCAGTAATCAATTAGTAAGATTTCATTTTTTTTAAACTAATGAATGGCCGGTGGGGGAGGGATGAATAAAACCAGTGTGTTATTGACTGAGCTAAGATTTAGAAGTTGCCTTCAGTTGAAAATAGCTATGACAAATTATAAGTGTCTTTTTGTTCAAAATAACGTTTTACCTTAAAAACGAAACTTAAATATGTAGCAATAAACTATAATGTATGTAAAAGTTTTAAAGAAATATTCATATAACCACAATTTTCTAATTTCTTTATTCCTACCACTCAAAGGGAAACCACAGCTTTGTTTTGGCCTGATTTCTACCTAGATACTACTTTGCAATGCTGATGCCCTTCCATGATTTTACTGTAGAAATGTCTATCCAGACAAAAGACAAAAGTCCTTTCAGTTTCTCAGCGATGCTTACAGCATTGTCTTAGCTTCACTCGCAGGTTATCTGTTACTTTAAAATAAATATTTGCATTATTTGGAGTGCAATTCTTAGTTTGATCTTTCAGTCTCTTTAGAATACAAAACACTGACTCATCTGCTCACTTCTGTTTTATACAAGGAATTAGAAATCATTTATAAAAAATTATATAAGAAATGTATTGTCACATCTCTAGAATGATGTAGAATGATTTATTTTTGTTAATACAGTCTGCCATCCCCACCACATAGACAAAAAACACATACATAAAAGTTTACCAATTACTTAAACAAACCAGTGCTTTTACTTAAAGGCAATGGTTCTCTTATTAATGACCCAGCAACTTGTATGGTTTTCAACTTACTTTTTCTTGCAGAATTATAACTCTTTAAGACTTTATGTAAAGAGTATTCTAAAAGCTCCTTTTGACTTTCAAAATATTTACGCGTTTTAGAATCAAAGTTGTTTTTAAATGATATCTAAATATCATTTAAATCCTTTGCCAGAATATGCAGTATCTGTTAGACAAAAATTAGTAGAAGTGAAGAAGCCCATTAATTTGTGTATTAGTGGTCTGTAATTTTTTCATTAATATTTCCAGTTAATTAAAATAATTTGACTGACATTTAGGAAAATATAAAAGAAGAAAAGGATATATAAGTGTCCTTATTTAAGGCCCTAATCTTTAATTAAGCATATTTTGTGAATTAATTACCAGTTTTGTAAGTGCCTGAGTTCAGTCTGTAAACTTTCATTTCTTTCTTTCTGTTCATCCAGAGACCTCTGGAGCTTACGAATCTGATTCAGGGAATCATCAAGCTGAAAGCAAAGTAGAAAATGCTTTAGTTAGGCTCATATTTTTATAGTCTATCATGGTGGCTACAGTAAATAACATCTTATCATATACTTAAAACTTGCTAAGAGAATAGATTGTAAGTATTCTCACCACAAAACTATAAGTGAGATAGTGCATATATTAAGTAGCTTGATTAGCTATTCTACAATATACACACATAGCAAAACATCATGTTATATATCATAAATATGTACAACTTTTACTTGTCAGTTTAAAAATAAAATTTAAATTAAAAAAACATAATGACTCATTATATACAGGACATAGTTTTCTATCTCCATTTTAATAAGAAATGCCCTTAATGAAAAAAAAAAGTTGAAATAAAATAACCCTTTAAAAACAAGGTATATTTTTGTGTGACAGTAACTTATCAGTAGTGTATGTGTGAGTTTCTTTCGTATATGTGCATGAATAAATAAAAATATCCATTTATTTTAATAATAGAGTCAATGTACATATCTGATAAAACAAACCTCAAAATGAGCTCTGAAATATTTGACAACATCTTTTCTATGTAGCCACTCTTCCCTATTTCCACCCTTGCCTCCCCTAGCTGTAAGTCACGAAGTATAACTTGTTTTTTGTTCCCATGGCTTTGAAAAACATACACATGTGTGTATACAGTCACACACACACACACACACACACACACACACACACACACACATATATATGCTAAGTACATATATATATGTGAAATACATTTTATTATTGAAAATACGTTATTTTCTTTTAATTGCTTTAATTAAAATGTATATCATGCTGTATGTAATACTCTTCCTTTTTAAATCCAATGGCTAAGACTCATCTGTAGTAGTGATATCTCATCTGCGCTCTATTTATTCTCTCTGTTTTGTATTATAGGACTGCATTAATATGCCATAACATATACATCTACCCTCCTTTCCATGAGTATTTACATTGTCTCCAGCCTGGTGATGCTCTGAGCATTCATGTATACTGGGGTCTCTTAGTATTCATGAGATTTGTTCCAAGACCTTCTGCAGATTTCAAAATCCACATATGCTCAAGTCCCTAATATAAAATGGGATAGTATTTGCTGATAACCTATGCTCATCTTCCTCTATATTTTAAATTATCTCTAGATTACTTATAATATTTAATACAATATATAATATATATAAATACTATATAACTAGTTGTTACATTGTATTGTTTAGGGAATAATGACAGAAATCTGTATATGTTCAATACAGATGCAATTTTTAAAAATATTTTTGATTTGTGGTTAGTTGGTTGATTCCACAATGGATATGGAGGGTCAACTGTATAGATACATAGTAATGCACCACATAATGACTTTCTGGTTAATAATGGATGCATATAAGGTAGTGGTCCCATAAGATTGTAATGGAGCTATATAATGGAGTAGGCTATACCATCTATACCATATAACTCTATGACATTCACACAAAGACAAAATTACCTAATGATTCATTTTTCAGATTATATTCCTATTGTTGACACACACACACACACACATGCATGCACACACATATAAATAACAGATGATAGATAGATGTAGATGTGATTCATCTGTGAAAAATTTTCTCTAGAGACATGCCTAGGAGTAGAAACACCAGATAACACTTTTTGTAATACTAAATTTCACAAGATAATACCAAAATACCTCCCAAAATTGTTTACTAATTTAATTCAATAAAACAGTTAGAAAGGATCTAGTTTAATCACATTTTCATTAACACTTGATGTGACATTTGAAATCCCTGATCAACAATTATGTATAACATCTATTTATATTTTTATTAGATTGATATTTTATTTTGTGTGTTTATTCAGGCCTCTTGCTCATTATTCTATTTTGACATTTGTCCATTTCTTTTTTTCTACATATATTAATGTTATAATGTTAATACTATTCCTTTGTCAGTAATAAGTGTCCCAAGTATTTTTGCCAGGTTTACATTTTTTTTTAATTTAAGAGATCTTTGGTTTAATCACAGTTATTTTTATTAAATTATGAAATCGATCAATATTTTCTCTTACAGTTGGGACTTGTACTCCAACTTTAGAAAAATGTTATTCTGTATTTTCACTATTTGTTCATGTTTTATATTTATTTATATTTTTGATCAAGTTGGAGTTAATTTTACACATGACATGAGGTAGAAATTCAATTTTATTTTTTTCCTATACAAACACATTTTGAAAGGTACGTAAGTACAAATATTGAATAGACTTTTCTCAATTGATCTGATATATCAAATCTGTCATATGTCAAAATTCCGTATATTTGATGTACAAAGTTTCTTTCATAAAGTCTGATAGCAGGCCCTTTTATGGATAATTTATTTGGTCCTGCACATTGTCTGAATTACTGTAGTTTTTTGACATACAATAGTATAAGCCCCCTTTTCCCAGTCATTTTTCATCAGAAATACCTTGATTATCCTTGAAATTTATATCCTTTATAAATTTCAAAAACTGCATAGCAAATCTCATGAAGAATTATATTTATATTTAACCTGGACATTCATCAATTCTATGGGATAATTTAAGTATATTTGACATTATTTCAATATTTAATGTTTTTGCCCAATATCCAGAGTATTTTAAATTTTACTTAGGTCATCCTTAAAGTTTCTCAACTCAACATTATAATTTTCTCAGAAGCTTTGGAAAGTGTCTTCTTAGGAGTTTAAATTTTATTAAATTTAGTTTTAGGAGTTTTATATCTTATGGTATTAAAAGTAACATTTTAAAATTATTTTTCCAAAAAATGAAATATTTTATAAGTTTTGTTGTATGTGTATAGTAAGTAAATTGTCTTATTAGGCCAGGAAAAGGGGCTCACATCTGTAGTCTCACCACTTTGAGAAGCTGAGGCAGAAGGATGACTTGAGGCCAGAATTTCAAGACCAGCCTAGACAATGTAGTGAGACCCCATTTTTTAAAAGAAAAATTAAAAATAGCCAGGCCTGGTGGCACTTGCCTGTAGTCTCAGCTACTGGGTAGGCTGAGGCATGAAAATGGCTTGGGCCCAGGAGTTCAGCATTATGGTGAGCTATGATTGTAGCACTGTATACCAGCCTTGCAGAGCAAGACACTGTCTCTAAAATAAGTAAATAGTCTCATTATCTGAACTTTTATTTTACTAAAACATAACATCCAGCCAAACATTCCTTGGTTTTCTAAAAATTAGTCATTCTTTTCCTGATTGAAATAAGGTAATTACTTTAAAATAAGCTCAATTTTATTTTGAAATATATCTTTAAGCTTTGAAATCAATTAGAGTTCATACTACAGTTTTCCCACGTGTGTCTTACAGCAAGTTTCATATCCACACAGTCTAATATTCTTGATCTTTAAAATGGTTGTACTTATAGACTTGTTATGAAGATGAAAATAGATAATACTTACAGATTGCATTATGTGGTACTAGATGTGAAGTATTTAGCATATGTTACCTAACCTAAACTTGTTTTATTAGAAGGACAGTGAAAATTAATGTGAAATGTAATCACGGGTACGGCTATTATAAGTAATTCTTGCCTATACAGTGAAGGCACTATCATGACTAGGAAAGTTAACACTATGAGCACTTAATATCTAAAGTGTGGAAGTCATCTTAGAAGCAGAATATCTCACAAGGCAAAAATAGAGCAACACTTAATCTAAGGTGATGACTAAAACGAAGCTGAAATGATAGATTCAGAAGGTTTCAGAACTTTTCAACAAGGGTGATAAGCAGGAGTATCTCATCTTATTGAAGTGCTATTTTGTCCTATATAGTAACAAAATGAAATTATATGCAAACATTGTGAGTTGAATTAGCATGAATCTGTCTGTAATTTGCTCCTTCATCTCTTGGCTCATAGACAATATCAAGGTTTTAGAGATGCGAATTTAAGGCCAGGCGAAGTGGCTCACACTTATAATCTCAACATTTTGGGAGGCCAAGGTTGGCAGGTCACTTAAGGTCAGGGGTTTGAGACCAGCCTAGCCAACATAGTGAAACCCCATCTCTACTAAAAATACAAAAATTAGCCGGGCATGGTGGCAGGCGCCTTAATCCCAGCTACTCTTGAAGCTGAGGCAGGAGAATCACCTGAACCCGGGAGGTGGAGGTTGCAGTGAGCAGAGATTGAGCCACTACACTCCAGCCTGGGCGACAGAGTGAGACTCTCTAAGGAAAAAAAAATAAAAAAAAACAGAAAAGAAAGAAATGCAATGCAGTGCAAATTTAAGCAATGGACCCTGACATGCTCTGAAAATGCTGAGAGTTCCTGGCTTTGAACTGCTCTTTTTAGGAAAAAAAATTCAACAACAAAAAGTATCTTCCTCAAGTACTATTGATTGTGTTTTTTCAAATATGTTAAGAAGTGTTTTAGTTGCTAAGTGGCCAAGTTGTTTTCTTCTTAGCCTTACTGGGGTTTCCATGGGGTAGGTTTGTGTGGTTTTAATCTCTTCCCTTTCTCACAGTAATTTTCTTCAACTTTATTGTTCCAATTGAATATTTTACAATTTTAGGGAAACTTCTACACGTGTGCAGCTTCAAGACAAAATATCTTGCTTTTCCCTTGAAGTAGATTGCTAACCCTCAGCACTATAGAATAATTTTAGTATGTATTCAAATTGCAAGAAAAATCAATCCTCTATATATGAAGCCAAAGCACTGCTAAAGATGAACCAGATCCCAACTGACTGATATCTGTACTAGCATTATTAAAATGAAATCAATTTAAATGTTAGAAAGCTTTAAGTGGTTACTCTTTCCAAGGGATGCGGGGGAGGGAAGATTTTTTTTTAGTACCCTCATGGAGAAATGTTATTCTGTAAACTCTTCTTATCAATTATTTATGCTTACAGAATGAACATTTTGTTAATGTATATCATAATGAACTCCCAAATAGTACTTAGTCTTATTTCTGAATTTCAAACATTTAGACATTTTTCAGTCATACCCACATTTTGTTGAGAT